CATATACTGAAGTATAGTATGAAGTATAGAATGTCGTAAACTATGAAGTATAGTATGTCGTAAGGTATGGGGAATAATTTCAAGAAAAAAATTATTTTATTGTATTTCGAAAAATGCAATAATGAGAACTCATAGTATTGTATGTCATTGATAGCTATTATATTTTTTGTATAGTATGTAAAAAAGAAAGTGAGCATAGTATAGCGGAAAAGTTCAGAGAAAACTTTAAAGACAGTATTTCAAAAATACTGTCTTTAAAAAGACTTAGTACAGAATGCTGAAAAATGTTATTGAATAAAATGTTGAATGTTTTCATCAAGAAAGTCGAGTATTTAGCTAAAAGTGAGTATATTACCTTGAAGTTTAAACCTCTGTGATGAAGGAGGAACGAGGAGGCGATGCCGTGTTTTGAACCTTTCCAGTTTAGCGATGTTCCCTCTGAGCAGAGCCACAAGAAGAGAGTCCACACTTCCCATCGTTCAGGGCTCCCGTCTGCAGCTGAACCGTGCTAGTTAGAGCTCTGCTCATTAACTTCTCTCACCAAGAGCTCCTTCATCAGTGTGAAGAGGAAGGGAGGACAACAGAAGGAAGGAGAGGAACAGCCTGACCAGTGGAGTTTAACTAGTTTGTTTCTCCACACATGAACGCTGCTCTGGAATGTTCTCCACTAAATTCGGGTTGGACAGCATCTTTAATGGGATGTGAATCCACTCATCGCATCTTGTTGCTGTCTTTGTTTGGTGGGAGATCTCCTGGCTGACAGCAGACTGTTGTTCCTCCAGTATCGTACCAGAACAACGGAGGATTCTGCTGCACACAGGAACTCTCTGACGTTTGTTAACCTCGTCCTGACCCGCTGTTAGAGATACATTCATAAAATAACGGAAGATGTTCTCACAGCTCATTACCCGGACTTTGACCTGTATTACATTCTATTCATTAACAGTAATAGCCCACAGTAAAGACAATACTGGACATGTTCTGTTATTTGATGTTGTACCTAGAGAACCCTAAGTGGTAGATAAATAGGGCCTTGTTGTTAGAACCCTCACGCAAAAATTGTTTTGACTTTGGAGAGTTTTGGTGGAGGCGGTTCACGATGTTCCGTGAGTCTTGTTAGCAGCTGTAAATGTAGAAGCTATCTAAGAGGGATCGTGGAGGAAAAGATTCAAGACGGGATTGTTTTGCCGCAGAGCTTAAAGGGACAGTTGAGATGTTTAGAAGTGTGGTCGTACGAGGTCCACGCGCTCAACTATGCTTCAAGCCTCAATATCATTTAAACAGCTGAGTTATATAGAAACGCACCCCCGTACAGTTGTCATGAACGAGGATATCAGCTGCAGAAAGTGTTTTGTACCCGGCAGTTAACGTGTTAAATCAGTGTTTTATGAGTCCGGTGTGTTTGTAGAGATCATAGATAACAGCTTCAGTTCCTCGTCATGAAGGTAAAGAAGTTAAAACATTCTAAATGAAGCGTTCTCTTAGACTGATAGAGATTCTCTGAGGAGTCTAACATATGTCCACAGCAGAACATTACTTTACTTCATCTCCTGTAACACAGAAGTACTTCAACTACACTTCTAAACTTCACTACTGTCTCTGTTAGAGCCAAATATGGTGTAAATACAACTGTATTTCTCTGTGTATACGTTGGGTGGTGCTGTATTCATGTCCTGGGCTCAGGTATATAGGTCCTGAGCTCTCCGTGGTTGTCAGGTGTTTGACCCCGGAAGGTCAAAGGGTTTTGACCGCTATACTCTAATGTGGTGCGTGAATACAACGGGTGCATTTACTGTCGGTGGAAAGAATGGGACCTTTTATACGTTGTTCCACAACAGAGAAAATAAACGAGCTATCTATCATTCAACAAACGTCTCTGTGATGATGTACCTAATGCAACGCACATCACAGGTAATCTAGATGTACAATGAGCGCGTCAACCAGGTCACTCCAGAGGGAAAGACACCTCAGGAGCTTACGGAACAGGACTGGGCTTCTGTAACTGTCCCTTTAATCTATCCAACACGGAACCAGCCACAGAACCCACCCCTGACCGGGAGCCCAACACTGCAAGTACTTCTAAATGTATTGACATAACACATCATCGTCATCGTGACCACCATCATCACCGTCATCACCGTCATGATCATCATCACCATCACCAGCACGCTATTAGCTCAGTGTTTTCATACCTTTATATCTACGTAGTTTCATTAAAACACAAGTTTTCTCTGAGCTATTTTATTTTGAAAAAGCTTTAAACCAGTAAATCAACATGTCTTCTGTGGCGATCATCTCTTTCAGTTATGTTTTCATTTTGCAGTCACAATGTGCTTTGACCCACCGACTGGCAGCTGTTGGTGGAATTAAACTGAATTAAATGAAAGTCCTGCCGGTGACTCTGACACGAGGAGGCTCCGGCGTATAGAGCTGTTCTACTGGAGGACAGCAGAGAGGAACAGAGAGCCAGCGCTGGTCTTATTAAAGTCAGTGTTGAGTTTCTACTTCACACAAATAGAGTACGAGACGTTTTAAAAGTACCTCTTTCTTGTGCACGTGACTGAACATTTACAAACATTCCTCTGAACACTCTTTAGTGTGTTTCTGTGCTCGGCACATTTAAGGGGAGTACAAACGTTGTTCTTTACATTTTGTGTTTCCAGTAAATCCAGTGGCCAGAGAGGTACGCTGTCTGTCTGCACACACACGGCTAAAGGCTTTCATATTGACTACACTCTTCACAATAGTTACAGTGATTATAGTGTTTTCTTTAACGATCATGTGACGTCTCTCACTTAGAGATCACTGCCTTCTTAGTGATGCTCGCCCTCCGGCTTCCGCCTCCTCCTCCTCCTGCTGCTGCGCCTCCTCCGTGCCAAAGATGGCCGGGGATGGTGAAGGCGTCCACACTCATGCCCATGGTTTTGGAGGGGATGGTGCTAAACTGCTTCCTGTCTGAACTGTATTTGTAGATGCACTCCACCTGGGCGGAGCCAATGGTCCGCGGCCCCATGCCAGCCAATCGCACGAGCTCCTGGGAGTCGGTGCTCATGGTGTAAACGCCCCTGAACTGGCAGCTGGAATCACGGAAGAGGATGAGGAAGTGGTTGGCGGGACTCTTCTCCATCTCCTGAGGAAGAGAAGGAAGAATGCAAAGAATCACATTGGCTGTTTCTATGATCTTCAAACAAGCATGCAGTGGTGGAAACTAACTACATTCACTCAAGTACTCTACGTAAGTACTATTTTGCGGTACTTTACTTGAGTATTTCCATTTAAAGGGCCAGCGTGTAGGCTCTGGCACCATCTAGTGGTGAGGTTCCAGATTGCAACCAACTGAAACTTCTCTTGTGTGCCAAGTGTGTAGGAGGAAGGATGTTCCTCTCTAGAGTGAGTGTTTTGGTTTGTCCGTTCTGGGCTACTGTAGAAACACGGCGGCCTCCGTGAAGAGGACCCGCTCAGTACGTAGATACAAACGGCTCATTCCGAGGGAACGAAAACACGACCATTGGTATCTTCTGGGGTCTTGACGGTGAGGTGGTGAATTAAAGCCAGATGTCAGAAATCAAATGTGAGAGGCATCATTATATGTACAATAATTCCTCCCACACATTGAATTTAACTTTGCATGTCTGCTTACTTATAGATCAACCTTTAAAAACCATTAAGGGTTTTTTTGGGGAGTTTTATTCTTCTCCGATGTGAGGGTCTGAGGACAGAAGACGCCGTATGTCCTACAGATTGTAAAGCCTTCTGACGCAAACTTGTGATTTGTCATATTGGGCTATGCAAATAAATTGAATCTCAAATCCAAATTCGGCTCAATATTTCATGAGCACGGGGGAGAGGGCGGGACTACCAACACTCGTGGTCAGCTGTCGAGCAGCTGACCACGAGTGTTGGCACGAGTGTACCTTGTACCTTGACGAGTGTACCTTGAAATCCAAGGTAACATCAAACAGCATTAAAGAACCGCAGATCAGAGTGTCATTAGTTTTTAATAACATCTTCTAATAGTGTGCATAGATCACCAAGCTTGGTCTAAAATTACTCTCATGAAAAGTGGCTCATAGTAAAGGGAAATACCTCAACTATCTTGTTCTTCTGGGTCTCGTTGACCTTTCCAGCGAGGCAGCAGTGAGACAGAGCGTTGTGGATGATGAACTTGTTGGACTTGAAGCTTGGTTCTTTGAAGAGTTTTGGACCTACAAACACAGATACACCTGTTTACGCTAACCTATAAGTACAGTTGCAATCATTTTTGGCAATGCATATGTAGTGTTGTACCTGTGTATTCTGGGGCGGGCGAGGTTCCGTTGGAGCCAGTCTCCCAGTCTTTATCTCCGTTCTGATTGGCCAGTTTACTTGGTGTCACACATCCTGAAGGCGAATCAGGACGGCTGTTGGAGAAATGTCAATCAATGAACCAATAGGCCATCACAGATTATCATAGCAGTAGAATTAACCTGTAACATCTAGCATGCTGTTGTGCTAATGTTAGCCCATCACTGTATTAGCATTATGTTAACCTGTGTACAGTGACTGGTAACGTATCTATGTTTAGCATGCAGTATTGTATAAAGTCCATACAACCCACCATACTAACCTGTGGGGTTTCTTGAGGAGGTTACCACATCTGTTTCCTGGCTCTTCCATTGCTGCCAGGTTGAGGGAGGAGTTAGAGTAGACTTTGGTCAACTTAGAGCCTGGAGAAACATAAATATTAGGACATTAAAACAGTTCTGAAATCATCTGAAAACACTTTTATAACTTCTCACTAAAGACTTTACCAGCTCTTCCCTTGGCTGGACTCAGAGACAGCGGCGTTTCCTCCCTTGTCATGCTGCGAGGACGGGGCCGGGTTTTCTTGACGGAAGATCGTCCTTGATTAGTTGATTTCTGCAGAAGCACTTTGTCCAAGTCCTCCATGATCCTGAGTTGATGCCGCCATGCATACTCCACTCGCGTGAAAGTTCCCCTCCGGACTGGTGTAGCAGGAGGTGTGGGGGAAGGCGAGGTCATGCCTGCGGGAGGTGTATTGGAGGGAGATGCTGGTCTGAAACCAAGAGGAGTAGGTCACATTTACAGGCATCTCAGCTTTGGACTTGTTAGAAAAATGTAAGAAATCAAGCAATGCAAAGAACTTTGTGAGCGTTCATGAATGTGTCTGCTACCTGTTTTCCCTTTCTTGCTCATTCCACTGTCTCCTCTTCTTCAACTCCTCGGTTCTCTTCTGCTGTTTTTCCAACAGCAAAGCTCTACGCTGGGCCATCTCCCCTTCACTATGTACCTCCTCCTACAACCACACAAACACAAGATCACACACCCAACTGTCATAGAATGAAAGTGCACAGACGCAAACTTTCTCTTCCATTTTGTTTTTCCCAAGCAGCACTCACCTGAAAGAAGAATCCAATTCCTCCTCTTGCCGCGGGCTCATTCTGCTCTCCACTCGGCTCCAGAGTTTCGATCTGTCTCGTCTCGTCTCTTTCGGTTTCTTGTTCTGGCAAATTGCCGGCTCCCGTTGCCAGATCCAGCTGTTCTGTGGGGTCTAAAGGTTCTGCAGCGAGTCCTCTAGCAGGTTCCACAGCAGACTCTGTGTGGTCGCTCATGGAATCGGAGGAATACTCCTGCCCTTCATCAGTTGGTACATCACTGCCCCCCTCTGGCCCTCCAAGAGAAGACAGCGAGGTCTCAATCGGCCTGCAGTGCTTCCCTTCACCTCCTGCACTGAACGCAGCAGAAAGAGACAAAGTCTCGCTCCCAAATGAGCACTCAGAAGGAGCGCCAGAGCTGCTTCCACCAGCAGCCGTCGGACGATCTTGTCCGTGCTGTGGGAAAACCGGCAGACCTCCTACAGCCTCCATGTCCTCCAGCTCCAAGCTGAACTGAGTCGGTGTCTCGCTCGACGCTGTGTCCGAGGCGTTCTCCTCAGGCTGTGGCTGCTGGGTAGTCTCAGGACGCTCTTGAGGAGTCCGAGGCCCACCGATACGAAACGAGGAGGAGGTCTGAACCTGACACTTGCTGGGGGACACACGCCGTAAGTGGGGGAGGGTGTCCACGTTATGGGTCGGTACCAAGGCGCGGTTGAGTGGGGGAAACTTGAGTTCGGAAGGCCGTGGGTGGGGCTGATGTTGGGCACACGGGTGGTGCTTGGGGCTGCGGGGTGTGGAGGAGGAGTGGATCTTTGTGCGAGGAGCCGGGCAGGAAGAGGAGATGATAGTCTTTGGGGAGGTTGAAGAAGAATGAAGGTGCGAACGTCGTGACGGGGAGGAGGCAGCGGGGCCACTGGGACCAGGAATCATCCACGCTTTAGTGGTACTCCTCGTAGAAGTCTTTGTCGGGGTTCTTGGTGGTGTCTTTGTTGGGGTGTGAGGAGGCGTTTTGGCAGCGCTTCTAGGTGCTGGTTTTGGAGTGGTTTTGGGTATGTTTATGGGTTTTTGATTGCTCATGAGCTGCTGTTGCTGTTCTGTAAGTTTCTGCATGTCCTTTTGTAGTGACTGCAGAGCGTCACTCAGTTTCTGAACCACTTCATTGTACTCCACAAAGACAGCTTCACCTCCTTTCCCTTTCTCTGCCCCTTTCTTACTTCCGATAGAGAAAGTGACCTGCTTCTCTAGCCGAGGAGGATTAGGAACAGATGGCTTCTCTTTCTCCTTCTCTCCATCCTTTTCTTTCTCCTTCTTTTCCCTCTCCTCCTCTTGTTTCAGTTGCTCCTCCATGCAAGTGAGGCGTTCCTCCAGGGTGAGATTATCCCCCTCTGCTCCCTCCCCTCCTCGCTCTCTTTTCAGTTGAAGGAGAGCAGTTTTTCCCAGCCTCTGTCTGTGGTTGGCAAAGATGGCTTCAATGCGTCTTTTTTGGGCTTCAATGCTTTTGCGTTTTTCCTCCAGACGAGCCCCCAACTCCCAGGCCTCGGAGCCCGGTTCAGGGCCTCTGGGACCGGGGCTGGGTGCCCCTGCTGGAGTGGAGGGTGTTTGTGGAGTTCCCGGGGTTGTTGGGGTCGAAGCAGAGGCCGACTCCTCCCCGGGGGCGGTGGGATGTCTTCTTCTGCTGTCTCGTCGCTCAGCAAAGCTCGTCATGCGTGGACTGCTGCTGGTGCTGCTGTTTCCCTGGCGACCGTTACTGGGATGGATATTACCCGGCGCGTTTCCAGAAGTATCGTCCGATGCTTCGGAGGAGTCGACGCTGCCATCCCGTAGGACAGAGTCGTCGTCACGAGACATATCGGAGGTGCGTCCCGATCTCTCCCTCCTCTCTCCCCTTCCTTGCTTTTCAGCGTCACTAACAGGCCGGTGGAGGACTCCAGAGCGACAGGGAGCAGAGCTACTGAGCTGGGATTCATCCTCCTCGGAGGAGTGTAGGAAGAAACCAGCCGGGGCTCCTTCCGGACGCAACCTGGGCTCTGGCCTTCCTCCCAACAGTCCTCTTCCACCTTTCTCTGCTATCCTTCCCTTCCTCCGATCTTTGCTGCTCATGGTGTGAACCACCTGTAGCGCCTCCTCGATGGTTGGCAGCTCTCCCAGTGGCGTTGTGTGAGCGCAAGGACCCCAGGAGGAGCGCTGCGACGGTGCAGAAGCGCTGACCAGGTGGCTGAGCTCCTCTGGAGGGCTGTACGGGACACAAGTCATCCCTGCCGATGTCACCGGGGAAGTCATTGCGCGGATGCCGGTGGTGAGGCTGTCAGTGCTGACAGAGCGAAAGACAGAATCTATTGGGTTTCCCATGACAATGTCAACATCACTGTCCAGCCCAAATGGGATGCTGAAAGTCACTGCTGACAGAGGACGACTGCAGGGAGGTGGATGACGATGGAAGGACGGACACATGGATGGGTTGTGCCAACAAGGATGGGAAAGCAGAGACCACGGAAGCAAAAGAAAGAAGATAGAATATGAATGCAAACACAACATGTACTATAGTAACTGCGTGACGCTTTGAAGTATAAATACCTGATTTGTTTCTTTGTCCAACTCTTGTTTTCTGGAAAGACCAAAAAGAAAAGTCAATAAAGTTAAAGATGTGTTTGGGTTAAATACAAACATTCTGTTCCTGTTCCTGACCTGGCGACACCGGGGAGCAGATGGGCACAAAGGGCTGTTTGAAGATGAAGGAAGGAGAACCACTGGAGCAGATAAATACAGATAAATGCTGTATTAGTTAAACATTTTAATAAAAGCAAATGAAAAATGTTACATTTCACAACAATAAAAGGCTTTGATTTGAAGCCTGAATCCGGTCCTGTTTATCTACTTTACTCAGGTTTATTTCGGTCCTTCGTGGTATTGAACCCTGACCATCTTTGGTGGGATGTTTATACCTGTTGCTGTTCCCGCTGACGGGACCTGTACAGTCTAATAACCCCGAGACGTCTGAAAGACATAGAAGCAGTTTCAGAGCCGATCGTCGGTGTGACATGTATTGTTGTGCTCGTCACAGACCTGTGAAGTCGATGGGTTGGATGGGCTGAACGAAATCCGGCTTCTTAACCTCGAACCACTCCAGCAGCTCAGCTACGAAGCTCATGATGTTCAGCTGAGGAGAAGAGCACATTAGGTCACCGTGGAGGAGACTCATATGTGGAGGGATTATAAAGTCTCGGTGACTTTATTTCACAGTAAATATTGAAACAAAAGCAAAGGGATGCTGCTTTAAAGTGGACTGTCAACACCTTAAAGAGTAACAGGCTGGATTCATGGTTGTGGAAGAAGTTTTGACGTTTTGAAACCTCGAACATCTTGTTTCTTTGCAACCAGTGAACAGGAATTGACCATATGTTGACTGAGGAGGAGTGACGTAGAGAC